TTATACCCTTGATACATAAAAACCTCTAACTTAGCCTAATTACACAATTAAAATCCACAAATGCAAAGGTTTGCACTAGGAAATATGGTTGAAATATAAGACTTGTCATTCTTGCTAGCATTTTAAAAATATGCTTTCATTCATTTCTTGGTTATTCTTGTATCATTTTTCAGCCATGGAGAGCTTGATAATGATAATTTTTTTGGAATATTTTTTAGATGAAATTAATGCCACTTGATAATGTCAAGGTGGAGGATCTCTCCTGGAGAGTTAAGGTAGCTGTGTAGAAAGAGTATGAAGAGGTAGAAGGATCATGAATGTCTTTCAAATCCTTCTCCATAGCCTAAAGGATGAGAATTGTGCTATATGAACTTTTTTTAATAAATGAACTGAACTATATTATAGGTAAAATCTTATGTGGTTATGCATTTCATTCTCATCATTACGCATGTCTTTGATACCAATCAAATTTTGTCATTTTTGTAAGATCTATGAATTTGTTTTCCCTACTCTCATGGTTATTTTGTTATGTCCTTTTAATTGTAGTAGAATTTGATGATAACAATTTCTCAAATATCTTTTTAGGGATCAAATTAATGACACTTGACGATGTTAAAGTGGATGATATCTTTTAAGGGGTCGAAGTTCCTATGAAAGAAGAGAACGAGGAGGTGGACAGATTCATAAATACATTTCAAGTCTTTCTCAAATACTTAGATGATGAGCAAATAAGCCTTTGAAATTTTAATGTATAATTTTATTAAATAACACCACAAAAAATAACTTTAATGCCTTAAAATTTGGTTTAAGAAAATTTTTTTTGAGTATTTAGACTTATATGCTTAATATTTTCTTCGTCTCTTATTATAAATTCAAATTTCACACTGATCTGCCTCTTTTTACAAATTTTTTTGGGTTTATCTAAACATTAAATATATTTTCATCAATTTTATTTTTAATTAATATATTCTCACTTATTATCTTTTTCCTATACATTTTCTTTTATCTTTTTTTACTCTCAAATATTCACTTGTAAATAAAGATATATTTGAAAAAATTAAATTACATTTCCTATGTACTCATAATTTTAAACTAATTTTAATACTTTGAGTCAATATAATCTTTGGTCTTTCAAATTTGTTATCATTTTTGTTTTAACTCATCAAGTTTTAAACTATAAGTTTTGAACCATCAATAGGCAAAATGATCATATTTTTATTAAATTATAAAAACTAATATTTTAAATTAAAAAAAATTGAGAGACTAAAACTAAAATTAGAACACACTTAAAGGGCCACAAAATTGTATTAACCCTATTTCTCAAATTACAAAATTCGGTTGAGGGATAGTGGAAGCATATTTTTGTCCAACTAAACTAAGGCAAGTGAAATTTAAAGTGTTAATAATATTAACAAAAAGGTTGGCAAAAAGAATTTGTTATAGGATAAATAATAGTAATACATTAAAAAAATTTACATATATTGATTCAATTAAGATATAAACTAACTACATAAGTCTTTTTTCTTTGCTTAATCATTCATGTTCAATATTTTAACGTTCCAACCATCAAAATACCAGCATAAAATATGCCCAACCTTCATTCACAAATTGTGGGCCACCTCAAAGATTGAAATTCTCTTGCTGCGCAACAATTCTAACACTATACTCTCTTATAACTGCATTTGTCTTGTGTCTTATCATTCTATTTTTCAAAACTACAAGCGGGATGATATTTTAAGTTGTACCACACAAGTATCTGATTACATATTGACATTTCATTATATTAACTTTGTTGTTCTTATTTGAAAGACATTATTCCCAAAAAAAAAAAGGCCGTTGGAGATTTAAAAGGGATTAAAATGTCAGTATTGCTGCTCCACCCATCTCTAAGTCAATATCTAAGACATAATAACCGGGCAGCAAGCTTTGATAAATAGAATAAGGAGGGTATTTCACCAAAAAAAAGAAGAAAAAAAAGAATGAGGAGGGTATTTTGAAGAGGAAATGGAACAGATAAAACAACATGGTATCTGGCTTTTCAGAAAGGAAGAGCAGGTCCTCTTAAACTTCTGTAAGCAAAACATCAGATACAGCCATCTGGACTAGGATCCAGACCCCAGACTCCATTCAGAATCCCAGAATTATTCACTAAGAAGCACAACTCTCGCAAAACAGCACACAGAGAGATCACATAACAAATATTAGAAGACATCCCGACTTTAAACCCCTTGAGATCTTTTCTCCTACTTCGTTGCATGTTGATCAGCAAGGTTCCTTTTCTCTCTTTTAAGAAACGGATTCTGCATATTCCATTACCAGAAAGTCAATTACAATCACCAAGGGAATTAAAATAAGCATGCTTTGTGCCAACAGCCAGCAATATACACAACGTAGCAGTTGCCAGAAACCCAACTAAATCTCAACATTAGAATCGGACAAAATTTACTACAGAAAAAGAAAAATTTATAGTCGACCCTTCATTTTAAAGGAAACATTCTGATCTCTCTTTTTCTTTTTTCTCTCTTTTTTTCCCCGAGTGAAAATAACTCATTCTGATTTTTCTGCATTTCATTCCACTTTGACATTTATACTCCGTTCTTGTTTTCTGATTAACAAAATCAAGGAAACTGTAGAGGCAATTGTATATTTTCTTGCAGATGCAGGTTGTATAGTTCCACAATCTGCTTATTCGGTCAATCAATGCAACCTCCAAATGTGATGTACAAATAGGTCTAGGTCGCAGACTTGAGGGAACAAGGTCCAGTTCTTACGCTAATATGCCTTGCTTGAACATGCACACACGTGCACAAGCCAAAACATACTATGATATCTCCCTGTTTCTAGTGACGCCTAGTGATCGAAAGCAGTATCTAACTTAGACAGGCCTTGGGTCAGATAACATTGATACTCAAGTTTCAACTACAATTAGCACAAGATCAAATCAACCACGTCAATCAATCAGATACAAAGACTTCCATGCGAATAGCCAACCCAGTAGATCATCAACCTCGTAGTAAATCATCAATCCTTTTTGTAGGCTACTTTAGCTTTAATTTGTGAGACAAAAGTAGCAAAACCCTTGCGAAAATTCACAAAGATGTCGCCCAAGAGCACAAAAGAAAACAAAAATTCACATTTCCAGGTAAAATAAAGCAAGAAGCTCTACAACTTAAAACTCATATTTGAATTTCATTATTTCTCATTCTGCCTAAAGCAATCAGCAAAGCCAAGAAACGAATCAAAGGATAATTTCCGAGGGTCAAAAGACAAAACTAAAACCATTATACGATAACCAATCAGATTAAACTAGCGGAATCACGAAAGAAAATAAGATCACTTAAACCCATCTATACTCAATAAACAATCAAAACTAACGCTTTCGTACAAATCTGAGATGGGATTAACCACGGTAGAGGTGGACAAAAGATCGAGGGTATTGAGAAATAGGAATAGGAGGAAAATACATCGATAACGAGATTAGCGACAACGATGGTGCCAACTATGCCGCCGACAATAGCTGCCGGTCCGGTGAGGAGGGACCACTTTCTGTAAATCATCTTTCTCTGCTTGCGATTCACTCCCTGATTTCAGCTTCCCTTTCCCCAAGCGATGTGAGTATTTTCGGCCGAAAAGGTGGGATGGGCACATATAAGTTATGAAACCCAATTGAAGGTAATGGGCCGAAACCCATGTTTGCAGTTCCCTTACTTTTTTCACATTGCGATTTCAATTATAGAAAAACATATTGTTTTTTATACTACCTTTGATTTTTAATATAAGAAATAGTTAACTAATTTAAATAAATTAAAAAAATTAATTAAGTTATTTATTTGTAATAAATATGTGTTTTTTTCTTAAAATACTTTTGCTAATCATGTGTATTAGCTAGAACTAGATTTGATAAAACATTTAACATGTGTAACTATTACAAGTATTATCTTAAAAATAAATAAATAAGTTTGAGAGACCACGTAAATTGAGATCATATATTTATGACCAAATTAAATTTTAAACTAACTCTTACATTGACAATCAGAGGTAGAACTTCACATTGAAGGAAATTAGACTATAGGCTAATGCTTGTAAGAAAAGCTTCATATGAATAATATAATTTTTTTTCATAAATTTTTATATGTCACACATATAGATAAGAAAAAAAAATTGTCAAAAAGTCTTTCTTTCATTAAAAATTTTATTGATAAGAAAGACTTGATAAATTTTTATATACAAAAAAACATTAATACTCTGCAAATTTCATAAACACAAAGTACAGGTACTTTGATTTAGATTTTTCTCAGTAATAAAATTCTTAATGGGATACTCCTCCCCATTTTTTCCTAATAAAACTCATATTAATAAATTAAACTAAGACATAAACCTAAAATACCTGACAGAACAAATAACATCATAAGCGAGAATATTGCTATTTAATTCCAACGTTAACGTAGCTAAGGAGTTAGCAGTTAGCCAACATTTTATTAGCAACAAGTAATACAGTGCAAGACCAATAATGGATTTTAATTTTATCCTGTGATCGTCTGAACAATTATAAGTTGGAAAGCTTCAAATCTCAATTTCAATTTCAATTTCAAAATCACATGATCATTCAATTTTGAATTCCAACTGCTACCCCTGATCCCAATGTTGCAAACACAGCACAACGTTCAGAATAGAGATAACGGATAGCATTGACTGCAACGGCTCACTACAATCCAAAGCATCCTATGGCCTGTAATCTTTTGCAAACACAAAAATATTAGATTACGGCGAAGATTATTCGTGGAAAAACAACAAACATGTACCTAACGGCTCAGGTGGGTCCCATTACAACAAAAGACGAGAGAGGGACAGACATGCACAGTCACATTTACAGCCTCACTGGGCCACCGTCCGCCTTTTCTCCATTGTTATATAAAGGAGAGTTTCAGTCTCTGAGGCTCATACAATCAACATATAGCCAAGTGGTTTGAATCTTGTTCATTCTATTCTTTCTCTTGTGGAATTCTTAGTGGTTTGATCTTTAAAGCATGGCGTTTTTCAAGAGTTGTGCTGGAATAGTGGCCATCTCTGCTCTTGTTTTCACCATTTTTATGCCCTTCATCGTTCAAGGCCAATCGTTCCCTCCTGCTCCTTCTCCTGCACCTGGCCCTTCCAGCGATGGTAATAACTCTAATTCTGTATACTTAAAATTCTCATACAGACAATCCAATCTCTCTCTCTCTCTCTCTCTCTCTCTCTCTGTCGGCAGAAAAGATTTTCCAATTCTGCACTCAAAATCGAGTTTCAACTTTTGAACTTTTCTAGCGGTTTCCAGCACTGTTTTTTGTATTTCATCTTGACAGGGACATACATGTTTGGAACTCGTAGAGTTCTGTAATTTTTAACTTGCCACATGAATCAGAAGAATAAATTATTGTTAGTGTCGTGCTGATTAATTTTGTTTCTTGATGTTGTTATGCAGGTACCACAATTGATCAAGGGATTGCTTACGTGCTCATGTTTGTGGCACTGGTTCTGACATACCTCATCCATCCTCTTGATGCGTTCTCACACTAGGCACTTCGTAGAAGAACTTCAGAGAGATTGAACATAGTGGGCGGTTTTTTATTATCTTCTCCTGGATAATTTTCTTGTACCTGGAGTCTTTTTATTTTTCATTCTGTTGTTAGTTTTTCTTCCATATTTTGCCGGCAGTGGGATTTTTGTGTTCATCTGTTATACTTCTTAATTGAGTAGTAATTTATCGTTACATTTATTCATTTTCAGTTCACGGTCGTTCCACTTTTCTAGTCTTTTAGGTGGTGTTTAGTACGAAACATTAAAAATAAAGAATAGGAATTGAGATTGAGAAAATAGTATTTAGTATGAGAGATTGCTTATTATATGGGATTAGACAAATTTATATGAGATTGGAAAATACCATGGTGGTATTCCCCAATCCCACTTTTATGGATTTTGTCTAATCTCATATAATAAGTAATTACTTATACTAAAAATTTTGTTAATGATTTTTTTCAATTACAATTCTAGTCCTTACCCTTCATCTTCAATACTTCAAACCAAATGAGACCTTAAGGGATAGGAATATCGATCCGCCTTTTAGTACTTGTCATCCCTATCTCCGTCACTTCTCATCTTGCAGTCAACAAGGAGTTTATAAACTGTGTGTGAGAGAGAGAGGTTATAAACTTTTGAAAAAAAAAAAAACATTAATCAGTGAAACATAGATAATGGTGGTGTTTATTATTTCTCTAACGGATATGTTGTCAGAATGCAAACAAGTCCAACCACACTGAGGAATCATACAGTTTACCCGCCTCAAACTTACGATTTATAGAGCTAAAGGCAAAATTAGCCAACAAGAGAGGGGGCGGGGGAGTTCACTCTGTCCTCCCCAGAAACAAATGATTTATTGCGAGTTTAGCATCTTTTGCCACTTGAGATCGCAGGAATATACACGTGTAACAATAACATCCGTGCCAATTATTTTGCAAATGAAGGTGATGGGACGTATGGGAGATCAGACGCTTTCAAATGGGAATCATTTGGCCTAGCCTGCTCTGACTTCTTACGATGTCAAAACACTGTTGGTTTCTGTTGTTGGGATTGCTTGTCTTATCAGATATAAGCCACTACTGAAGCTAACCCCATAAAGGAAATCAAAGACCCTCCATTCAAATGGGGTTGAAATCCTTAAAGATCAATGCATGTGTAGCCTTATGATGAAGTGTGATGTCTGTAGTATATAGTATACTTGACAACCTCGTAAAAGGAGACAACTATTCCTACCGAAGGGCCAGCGCGACCTAAACGAGGGCCAACACCTGTAAATAGCCCTCTTAATCCTCCATCCCTGTACAAAGAACAAAGGTCAGTCCAAAGCATTTTAAGGGAGTCAATTTATGTGATTGGACCAATAACCAATTGAAAAGCCATACCTCCAAATCTCGAGCAATGTTGTCCTTGTTGTCATTTTCAATGCCCGTTCAGGATCCTTCTGGAAAATAGCAAAGATGACATGTGTGTGAACATGTACATTCATCATACTGTTTATATTTTCACAAACTTTTTCGAGGCTCGTCAGTCTCCGTGGTTGTCAAATATGAAATTTACATAAAGCCACATTGTTTATTAAATTGTTTATAAAATAGTGACTTATCCCAAACTCCATAAAAAATACATGATCTACAATCTAATTGTTTCTTATATTAAGACTAAAAACTAGGTATCAACTATGGAGGTGAATGGAATTAAAGGGTTGGGTCTATGAGCAAAGTTCGAACCAATTTTGCAGATGTGCCAGTTGATCTTACTCAAACAAAATGATCAAAGTTCATAAATTCCATCTTCATCGCACTTGTACGTGGATTTTCATTCAATTTGAATCCCACTGTCATATGTTAATGTGGAATAACTAACAAATTCACTGCACACACACAATTGCTTTAAATTATAGCTCATCTAATGGCGCTAGGAATTTGATTTTGGTCTGCAGTTTGCTATGTATTCTCATGCGATCGGTTGCCCTATAAATTTAACATTTACAAATATAATAGCCTGTGCTTGCCATCGTTTTCTATAATTTTCATCTTTAAGTTTCTGCGTTTTGGTTTGTGGAGGGGCGGTGTTTGCAAGAATAATAATCTATGCTCTGGAAGCTTGGTTCTGAGAAACAACCTCTATTTGTCGTCGGGTTTTTGCCACATCTAGTGGACAAGTGGCAGCAGCAGCCAAGGTCCCAGCGGCAAAACCAGCTGAAAAATTTGCCCCAAGGATAGTGGCTACACTTGCTTCATCACCCGCCAGACCAAGAAGTCTTCTCCTAATCTGAATTGAATTGCAAGAAAGTGGCACTCAGCATATGCACTAAAAGATACCCAAAAAAGAAAGCAGTAATATCTTACTGGCTCAAGGGTTGGCCAGCAAATTGCAGAAAATGGAACATCCCGAGCAAGCTGTGCTCCCAGGCCAGTCCACCAGAAACGGTAGCCATGTACTGTTAAGGATGTCATAAAAATAGCCACTAATTGATTCAACCAAACGAACTACGTATTGCCCCAGAAAGATGGTAAAGTACATCAAAGGAAGCAGTATGGGGCTGCACTTACAGTTTTGAAGGAGGCTTGCACCATTTAAAGGTTTGATTACTCCAAGCAATGTCTTCCACACGCCAGGAAGCATGCCCTTTTGGGTAGCTCTAAATGCCTAAACAGAGGGGCACAAATGAAAAACCATGAATTACCACTCAACATAAATAAAAATCAAAGCCCTCGAGTTTATTTAGAAAATGCTTTTTCAATGAAGAAAGTATTCATTGGGAGTAAAGCAATAGAGGTTTCAAGGACAGAGGGACCTCGTCAACCAGAATAGCTGAACCAATGCACCAGATTTACACATACCAAAGAAGGAAAAAGAAAAGGTGAAAATGACCAGATAAATCATATATAAGGTCGGCAATAGTTTCCATGCTTTTATTCCGAAAAATAAAATGGTCTGTACTTGATGCTTTAAGGTAAATCTCCAACTCTTACGTTGCAGCCAATAGATTCCCAAGAATGGAGACGCAAAAAGCACCTTGTTTTTCTTAACCCCAAAACTGAAGCCATAACCTTTTCCTCTAGTTTGAACCCTTCTTTTGAAGGCCAATCCAGAGTGTTTTCCCGCAGCAGTTCCTGAACACCCCCCCCCCAACCAAAAAAAAACGAAAAAAAAATCCAGCCCTAAGGACGGTTAGCCCAACCTCCTTGCTATGTCATGATTTTCTCATATAAATCATGGGCGTCCATTTTTCATCATTGCCTATTACTAAATACATAATAACCTATATCTCACAAATTACCACACAAAAATTAGCTAGAGCTTTATTAGAGACTACCTGCATACGTGTCCTTGCTAGTTCAACAGGATAACAAGATATACAAGCCAATGACCGTGATAATGTTCCTGCAACCAGTGGAACATAGGGTGTTAAGTTTGGAGCATTCTGCGTAGTAAAGTCATCCATCATGTTGCGGAAGATATCATAACAAGGCATGTAGATTCCAACCTAATTGACAGCAAAAATACAATAAAATTAGAATATAACTGCATGCAAGATGTAGATGATGTGTACAAACCAAATGATATCAGGCCCCAGAGAAACCATATAACAATATAAATCCTATACGGGAAAGAGAGCTTACAGAAGGCACAGCCAATGCTAAACTTGCGTTTGTGCCTCTCCACAATCTTGTAAATCCTTCCTGCATAAATTAGCTCCTATGATCCTTCTTGTAGTAATCTATATTGACAATCCATTGGAAAAAAAATAGGACTATGTAGTTATTACAGTAGGAAAGCTATAGGAATGCTCTCATCATGACTCATGTATGAAACATGGCATATTACTTTGTGCAGGTTATTCCGTCTGATATTATCAGAAACTTCATGCAAGGTCCGTTGATATAACTCTACTACATAATAGTGATAGTAGCAAACTTGATGACAACGAGATAATGGAAGATAAGGATGGAATTGATTATTGGTGATATTTTAGGATTGAATTATCATTTAAATGTTTGAATCTTGTGGGTAGTGAGTTTTAAGATGCATGCCTTGCGATCATGCATGGAAACTTGTGATTTTGAGCATTGAGATGTTAATATATGACGATAGTATTAAGCACACTTGTGAATTTTATACAACTATGCAAAATTTCAGGTGTTTTCTGTCATTAGTCGGAGGGTCTTGCATTCAATCTCTTTTTAGCCCTTTGGCCTATCATAAGATCTTGATTTTACAGCCTTGGCCATATAATTATTTGTCTGATACACAAAAGAATAACTCATAGGTATTAGAAGATACCAAGAGCTCGAACTATAAGAAAGAGCAACGGTTCCTCCGTACTGGATAGTGTAACATCATCCCACAAAAAAGCTGAAATTATTGATTTAATTTGTTCAAGTAAATTTTTCAACATATATTGAAAATCCATGCACTAACCTGACGTATGACTTTGTACAAGACATCAAGGGTTCCTCTGTACTGGTTAGCGTGACATCCCAAAGGGCATGCTGATTCTGATTTAGAAAATGCTTGCATAACGGGATATCTTGCATCCGGTACCCTCTGAATAAAAAGATTGAAAAAATATATATATCATTCTGAGGAACTCACAGAAGCAAGAGAAGCAAAATGCATAATCAATTATGATCAGACAAATGCTGAAGGGAAAACATGTAATTAATAACCATCAATTTTCAAAGCAAACACCATTATGCTTCTATGCTTTACAACCGTAGTTGATAAGATATACACTTGTCAATGCAAACTTTCTCAAATAAAATTTTGTGAAGAGCATAGCAACTACTTATTATACCGTATTTGTTTCACATCCCATCCGGCAAATGTTCTGATAAGAAACCCCAGCAGCCTGAGCTTGTAGTCTTGTCTGAAAAAAGTTATCACAAAACTTAATGAAACCTCTAAGATTCAAGCATTCCTGTTCTTGAACTAAAGATGGGCAGAAGAATTAAAGTTAAATTGAATGAAACACGATGATATAAGATATGGCTAATCTTTTGGGCATTCCTATCAAAGAGAAGAAATATGACAACAATGTTAACCACATACACCCCCAATTTTAGAAAACGCAAGCAAACATACTTCTAGCATTTACACCTAATGACACTAAAAAAAATATTATTTGTCTTATATTGGAAAACATTTACACCTGCAGCACTTCAACAAAGAAGATTTCACCCTCCTTCCTTATCCTGCTGCTTCAAGGACAGAGTTACGATTACCGCAAAAAACTCAAATTTTAAAGAAAAATGCAAAACTAAATGACAAATTTGAAGAGTCAATTAAACCTAAACCTAATACCTTGGCGACATCCAGTGGATTAACGATGATAGCAGAAACGAAAGCAGCACCAGCGGCAGACAAAGCTCTCTCTCCAAAAGACAATTCAGCATCAGAATGGCTCGGCGGCGGCGCACCCGAAGAGCCACTGTGATGATCACTTGGATCACTGGAAGATGACATAGACGAAACCTTCCCCTCAAAATCAACCCTGGTTGCAGCCGCACCAATCCACGAAGGAAAGCCCTGCTTCGAGCCCACCATTCGTCAAAAGAAAAAAAAAATCGATTCTTTGCGGGAAATCAAGTCAAACTCGATCGTTTTGACATATGAAAGGCTCCTCTAAGCTTCTGCGAGAAACGGTCAGAAGCTTTGGCAGCTCCACCGGAAGATTCGGACTTAGAGCCTTGTTTCCTTGTCTCTGCTTCGAGGGGCTTCGCGTTATATATATGTGCATGGAAATCGGTGGCATAAGAAGAAATTAAGATGAAACGGAGGAAGAGATTCGTGGCGTGGAGTTTAGGACGACGTGTCAAAGAAGTGGGCGCCGAGTCTGCATACCGGTACTCCTTTTACCTTTTATCTTATTTATAAGTATGTTTTCCTAGAAAATTTTAAATTTTATTACTTCTTATTTAAAACTTAATAATTTTTTAAGGGAAAATTTCATTTAAGGACTTCAAAAGAGAATTTATTTCAGTCAATTCCTAAAATATTCTGAAATATCACTGCAAGACCAAGGATCACACTGAAATTAAAACTAAAAGTAAGATTACAATAATACTCCTCACTTTTATTTTTGAAAAAAATAAATATTAATGGATGTAACTGTTCCGACCACCAGAGGTAGGAGGTCTGGCCACTAGTGGTCAGGTGGCTGTCGCCAGAGGTTGGACCTTCAGTGGCTGTTACTGTAGTTCCGGTAGTCGGATTTTTTTTTTTTTTAAAACAAGGTGGTCAAGGGAAGGTTTGAACCCATGACCCCTTGGCACACAAAAAATAATATAACCACCAAGCCAAACAAACTATTCAATCATGTGATGCAAATAAATAAATATATATATAACAAAACAAATGCAACTGTCCAAGTATAAATGAACAAGTGAAATTAGAAGATTTACAAATGAAATTCAACAATTTACAAAAAAAATTAGACAATTTACAAATAACATAATAAAATTCATAATCCCAAATACAAGTGTTTAAGTGCAAATGAGCAAGTGAAATTTAAAGATTTACAATAAAAATTTATGGATTTACAATCCAAATTTGGCTATTCACAATTAACACAAAAAAATTCACAATTCAAAATGTAAGTGTTCGAGTATAAGTGAGCAAGTGAAATTCGACAATTTACAAGTAAAATTCAGTAATTTACAATAAAAATTTGACAATTTACAAATAACATAATGAAATTCACAACCTTAAATGCAAGTGTTTAAGTGTAAATGAGCAAGTGAAATTTGAAGATTTATAACAAAAGTTTATGGATTTACAAGTAAAATTTGACAATTTCACTTGCTCATTTACACTTAAACACTTGCATTTTGGAGTTGTGAATTCTGTCATGTTATTTGTAAACTATCTAATTTTTGTTGTAAATTGCTGAATTTCACTTGTAAACCATCAAATTTTACTTGTAAATGATCAAATTTCACTTGTAAATTCATAAACTTTTATTGTAAATTTTTAAATTTTACTTGCTCATTTACACTTAAACACTTGCATCTAGGGCTGTGAATTCTATTATGTTATTTGTAAATTGTCAAATTTTTGTTATAAATTGCTGAATTTCACTTGTAAATTGTCAAATTTCACTTGTTCACTTATACTCAAACACTTAAATTTTGGGTTGTGAATTCTCTTGTGTTTTTTGTGAATAGTCAAATTTGGATTGTAAATCCATAAACTTTTGTTGTAAATCTTCAAATTTCACTTGCTCATTTGCATTTAAACACTTGCATTTGGGTTGTGAATTCCACTATGTTATTTGTAAATTGCTAAATTTCACTTGTAAATTGTCGGATTTTACTTATTCACTTACACTCAAACACTTACATTTTGAGTTGTGAATTTTCTTGTGTTTCTTATGAATAGTCAAATTTGGGTTGTAAATCCATAATCTTTTGTTGTAAATCTTCAAATTTCACTTGCTCATTTGCACTTAAACACTTGCATTTGGGGTTGTGAATTTTATTATGTTATTTGTAAATTATCTAAGTTTTGTTGTAAATTATTAAATTTTACTTATAAATCGTCTAATTTCACTTGTTCACTTACACTTGGAAAGTTGCGTTTGTTTTGTTATATACATTTTTATTTGCACCACATGATTGAATGACTTATTTGGCTTTGTGGTTACATCACTTTTGGTGTGCCAAGGGATCATGGGTTCAAACCTTCCCTTAGCCACCTTGTTTAAAAAAAAAAATCCGGCCACCAAAGCTACAGTAACGGCCACCAGAGATCCAACCTCCGCGCGGTGGCCACCTGAGCACCGGTAGCTGGATCTTTGACCTCCGGTGGCTGGAACAGTTGCGTCCATTAATATTTATTTTTTAAAAAAATAAAAGTGAGGGGTATTATTGTAATCTTACTTTTAGTTTTAATTTTAGTTTGGTCCCTTGGTCCTACAGTAATATTTCATAATATTTTGGAGGTTGAATTATATAAATTCTCTTCTGCGGTCCTTAAATGAAATTTTCCCATTTTTTTAATTTTATTCCCATTAGAACAAAATCAGCACAAAAGTTTATTTCTCTAACTTATAAATAGAACCAAAAAATCCTTTCTCTCTGCTCTATAAATAAGAGTAGATAATATGCTTGCTTCGTTACTAAATGTAAACTTGATAATCAATTTACAAAAATTAAGAACAAAATTTAGGAAAATAGACAATAAAATATCTTAAAAATTATTAAAGGACAAATATGTAGGTGAATTTTAAAAGGAAAAAAGACACTAAAATTTCCTCAAAAATAATAAATGATAAATGAAGGTAGGGGAATTTCATAATCATAAATCACACCCCTGGTACTATTTAAAATTTTTAAATCTTATAAAATTACACAAATACCTTTTTACTATTTTTTTTACCTATCTTTTTCAAAAACTGCCACTTCAGCGCTTTCAGCTGCTTAAGACCTTGTCTGTGGCCAACCGCCAAGGCTCTGACAACATGTCATTGAAACTCCAATGACTGGTCGTGAGAGCTTCGGTGACTACTCTTTTTTATGTATTGACTATTTTTTTTAGTTATTGACTACATTTGTTTTTAAAATTCTGATGACTACTCTTATTTAGCTGCTGACTACTCTTATATTGCGATTAACTACTTTCATTTTTAAAATTTTAATGACTATTCTTATTGCGTTGTTGATTCTTCTAGTTTCACTATTGACTTTTTTGTTTTAAAAATTCAAAAAATGATTTAAGTGTTGTTAGTGATCTAGTAACTATTTTTTGTTTAGTTACTTACTACTCTTGTGTAATCAGTAGCTATGTAAAGGTAATTGCCAAAACTTTGAAAATAAAAGTAGTCAATAGTTAAATTAGAGTAGTTAATAGTCATATGAAAGTAGTCACCAAGAGTAAGGACAGTATTGTCGTTTCACAAAATTTGAAAAGTCTGAAATAGTATCAAGGGTATGATTTAGAATTTTACAATTCACTTACCCTCATTTGTCTTTTAGTGTTTTTGAGGGTATTTTAGTTCTTTTTCCTATTTTAAAATTTCAATTCAGATCCCCCATACCATTTTGGAATTTTCAAATCTTATAAAATTACACAAATAACTTTTACTATTTTTTTCCTAAAAAAAAATATTACCACCTCAGCACTTCCAGTGGTTGAAGCTCCGATGACATGTCACCAAAACTCCTGTGATCGGTCGTGAGAGCCCAGATAATTTATATATATATTGACTACTCTTTTTTAGCTATTAACTACATTTATTTTTAAAACTTTGATGATTACTCTTATTTAGCTACTGACTACTCTAATATTGCGATTGAGTATTTTCATTTTTAAAATTTTGGTGACTACTCTTATTGAGCTATTAATTATTCTACTTTCACTGTTGACTACTTTTATTTCAAAAATCAAAAAATATATTAAGTGTTATTGGAGATCTAACGACTATTTTTTGTTTAGTTACTTACTACTCTTGAAGTTAATAGCTATATAAAAGTAGTCACTGGAATTTTGAAAACAAAAGTAATCAATAGTTAAACTAGAGTAATTAATAACTATATGAAAATAGTCACAGAGAATAAAGATACTGTTGTCATTTCATAATATTTTAAAATTTCAGAATATCACAAGGAGTCTAATTTGAGATTTTAAAATTCACCAGCTCTAATTTGTTATTTAGCATATTTGAGGGTATTTTAGTGTTGCCCCCAAAACTTGTCCTATATATAATCAATGGATAATTTAAAAAATTATAAATTTTAGAAATTTTTTAGCGTGTGCGCATACGTTCGTACACATTGCTTTTGAGGGTCGGTAAGAAGCATCTAGGGAATATCCTGAAGTTTGTTTCTTTTAAACTTCCCTCGTTTATGAATATTTACCTTACTGTTTTATATTAAATGGTATTATTATCAGTATACTGATATAGTATAATCAGTTCTGACCTTAATGATTATTGATGGCTATAAAACACCTCCAACGTACAGAAATGGAAGCATCAAATCTGAAGCTGCAAAAATAAGCTTTTTTTTTTTTTTAAGGCTAGTTCAAAGTGAAGAATTTTGAATTTTGGTAAAAATATTTTCAGCAAAAGTGCCCAAAAATATTTGCGTGGGTACCCACTCTTTTTCCTGGCTCACTATTTTCAAAAGAATTAAAGTACAATTTTATTTTGAAGGTATTTCGTGCAAGAATTGTGAATATTTGATTTTTTTTTTTGGATTAATAATGCTCTATGAGTGTTAAAAAAGAGATAAATTCAAATGTTCACCATTAAAAAACTAATCACCGTTAATATTTTTAATAGTTAGGGTCACATTGCCAGCATATCTACAATATCTACAATCACTAAGACAATATTAGTTTTTTTTTAAAAAACTTTCAAATACCTATAGTTTTTACATGAAAACTTCTAAAGTAAAATGTTATAAGTCCTATATTCGGATATCTTACAAGTGTTACGAGATTTATAGGTTTAAGAAGTTCTCCCTTCTAATAAGCTAATCTTTTAGAATTAGGCTCTTCTTTTACACTTATGCTGATCATATTGGTACTTTTAGTAAGAGTTGGTTAACTGGAAAGGGCCTTTTGCGGAGGATCCTTACAAGTAGGAGATCGAGTGAAGTGTTATAGAGTAAAGTCATTAGGAATGTCGACTCTCAAGAGGGGTGTATTATTATAAGTTCCATATTGGTGAATTTCATTAGTATTATAAGGTTTA